GTCTTACAAAATCGGTTTAAGTTACAAGAGAGTTAAAAACATAAAAAAATAAAATAAAATGTCTGTAATTTCAGACACTATCTAGTGCTCCTGGAACTTTGAACAGCCTGTAATTGTGCTGTCTGTGCGCCCTACTGGCATTCAAATCAAGGCTTTGAAGTTCAGTGTTTTAAATATAGAATGAGGACACTACCTTTACTTTGAAGAGATGGTTATCAAAGAAGATTAATGTATAGCTTTTGGGTAAGATAATAATGTGGGTTTTCCCTCTAGTCAAAACAATCTGAGGATCTCTTACACATGAACCGAGGACCACATCTGGTGGTCAGGAGTGACCAATGGTAACATTCAAAACGAAGGCTGATTGATGGGCAAAACTATTCAGGTTTCAGGAATTGAGGTAATCATAAGTTCAAGAGATATGTACAACTTACTAGCACAACTGTAGGCTAGCTGTTCTTCCAGTTGAATACGCATATTGTTTTCATAATGCCTTCGACACTGGAAACTTTTAGAGGACAAAATAATTTGTGAAGCAATGATAGTTGGGCTGATGCTACTGTAGTTTTCTGTACTGTCTCAGAATTGTGTGTGTGTGTGTGTGAAATACTATCTCCCTGCATAGTGCTATGCCCCAAACCAAACAAACAAAGAAAAAACTTAAAGTGATTCCATTTGTTCGTTATCCAAAATTTAGTGGGGATCAATTATGAGCCAGATTCCACTGTAGGTTCTAGGAAAAGTATAAGGCCTAGTCCCTATTCCCGAGGACAGAAACAGAGATCGCTTCATGAGGAGCACACTTTGAGAGAGGGGGACAGTGTGAAAGGGGCATCAGATGAGAATCAAATGCACCTGGAAAAATCTCTAAGAACGAGGCCCAGCGATCTGAGTTGTTACAGACCCTCCAGATGATTCTGAGAACCTAGCATTCTAAGACAATGTTTCTCAAATATTAGAGCACCAGAGACACCGGAAGTGCCTGTTAGAACACATTGCTGCCCCCACCTGAACCCCATCATTGCTGATTCAGTAGGTCTGAGGTGGGGCCCCAAAAATGTGCATTTCTGCAATTTCCTGGGGGGATGCTGGTGTCCCGGAAACTATACTTTGAGAACCACTATCTCAAGGCTTATGCACTGTCCTTGGAAGGATTCAGAAAGCAGTGACTCAAAACATTTCTGTCTGGTGGTTCAGAAGGTAAGCTCCTATTAAGAAAGGCTGAGTGAAAAAAAGATGAGTTTTCAAAAGTGGGAAAGTTGTGCAAGAGTTAATTTGTGAGTAGTCAAGTTAGTTAAAGTAGTAGGCACAACTAAGAAAATGCTGAGCAAATCTGTGTGAGGAAGTAAGAATTTGGGCAGATCTATTTACACATGCAATAGCCACGATTATTTTCTTAATCCATCAAATGGGTAAAGTGGGACCCTGTTCCTTAGAATTTCAAGTCTAAGACAGTAGAGAATGAAATACTTATCCTGTATCAAGTTTCCTGGCTTCTTACAAGAAAGGCAACTTCAGATATCTCTTTGATTTCTTTTTTTTTAGTATTTTTTAAAGATTTTGTTTATTTATTTATTTTTTAGAGAGGGAAGGGAGGGAGAAAGAGAGAGAGAAACATCAATGTGAGGTTGCTGGGGGTCATGGCCTGCAACCCAGGCATGTGCCCTGGCGGGGAATCGAACCTGCGACACTTTGGTTCGCAGCCCGAGCTCAATCCACTGAGCTACGCCAGCCAGGGCTTCCTTTGATTTCTTAAGCATAAAAAAATTATTGCCTTGATTTGAACCTAGGATTTTGTTTACACTCCATATGCCACTTTCTGAAACTAGAAAATGCATGATTTAGAGTACAGAGACCTAAGTTTCAGTATCAGAATGCTACTAATAATTCATATTCAAAGCGCAACATTTTAAAAGGCATTGCTTGGAGTTCAGTCATTCAAACACTTCACAGAAAGGTAATTATGCAATCTACAATACCATTCACCCATCCACCCATCCAACAATAATAAAAAAAAATTGATTTAAGTAAATGTACAATTCAGTGGGCTAAGACAGAAATTAAATAGTGAATTCATCACGATTGTGGTAAATGTTATTTAAAAAATACACAACTTTGGCAGGAGCTATAATAAAAGAACATAACTTTGTAGGATAGAGTCTGAAGTCAGTGAAGGTGTCTTTGAAGAAAAGCTATTTAGGTTTGTGTCTGAGGGATGCGTAGGCAGAAGCCGGAGGATGAGCCGCACGCCACAGTTGAGAAGGACAGCCCAAGTCTAGGACGGGAGGCAGGAAGACAGACTAGGGAGATGAGCCATGGCAGAGGTAACGACGGCAGAGGTCTGTAAATCCAGTGGCTCCTGCCATATGGGAAGGAAGTCAGCAGGCTCCTGCCATGAGCAGACTTGCATATTTATAGAATCGCTTGTGGCTTCAATACACAAAATGCACTGAAGGAGTGAGAGGCTGCATTCTGAACAAATATAAAATAATAATTTAAAGTTCCCATCCTGATCTGGTACCAAAAAAAAAAAAACACGTTATGGGTTTTCCTGTTTCATGGCAGCACATACCATGATTATATAGTTTTACCCCTTACACTGTACATCACTTGGCTCTGCACTCAAGAAAAATCTTCTTTTTAAGTGAATACAACATGCACAGAAAAGATATAAACAAGAGAAATGAACAGTCCAATCTTTATGTTATAAGCTAAATTATGGACCCTGCTCAACTTCACAGGATGAAGTCCTAACCCTCAGTATCTCAGGAGGTGACTGTGTTTGAAGACAGGCCCTTTAAAGTGGTCATTAAACTCACAGGAGTTCAGACGAGTGGGTCCCGACCAAATCTACACTTGAAAAGAGAAGAAAACTTAAACAAAAGGGAAGACCAAGTGAAGACACGGTGCAGGAGTCCTCCTAGGCCACCCAGAAGATAAGGAGAGGAAACCAAAACTACTGCTATCGTGACCTCGGGCTTCTAGCCTCTAGAATTCTGAGAAAACGTACATTTCCGTTGTTTAAGTCAGCCAGTCTGTTGTAGTCACTTATGGCAGCCCTAACAAACTAATATATTGATACAAAAAATTCTTTTTTTTAAGATTTTATTTATTTTTAGAGAGGGAAGGGAGGGAGAAAGAGAGAGAGAGAGAGAGAAACATCAATGTGTGATTGCGGGGGGTTCATGGCCTGCAAACCAGGCATGTGACCTGACTGGGAATTGAACCTGTGACACTTTGGTTCGCAGCCCACGCTCAATCCACTGAGCTATGCCAGCCAGGCAAAAAATTCTTTGTTTAAGAAAAAATCACCATAGATTTCATTAGAATATGTGTTCAGTTGATTGGAAAGATGTTCATTTCTCAGAGGAGTACAAATGAAGGAGAAACTAATGGATTAAAGAGAGTGTTTTGGGGTAAGAGGTGGGGGAGGAAACATAGGAATGTACATGCCGTGTGAAGCATCGATGTGGTTACTCAGCACTTCTACACCGGTCAGACTTCCGGTCGCACATTGCACGTTCTCCAAGAATGACCACATCGGCAAATTTCAGACACCCAGGCAGTGTGATTAGCTCTGCCTTGACCATGAAAATGAGCAGTTAACAGTGTTCTGCAAACTTAAATGTCTCATGCATCAATTCAAATCAGGGAGACTCTCTTCATTTTGCCCATTTCTCTTCAGTATCATCAAGTGCATCTTGCCTAGGTCCACTGGTCTATGTGTTGAACATTACGGGGAATATAAAGAATTTGGAGACAGTGGTTCATGACCTCTAGGAAGTCAAGTTAGAAATCAGTTAACATTCACATTACAATGTGTTACCTTTCAAAGTGGGTTAACAGAATTGGTTTGGAATGGTTTGCCAAGTGATGGCAGGGTTCATGCTCATCACAGGTTCACACACCTGTGGGCAACGCACTGACTTCTTGATGACACCCACCTCCATCCATTCATCCGTGGGAAGTCAGCTGGACACACACACACACTTAGCATGTCACGGAGACCACAGCTATTACATTTCTTGTTTGTGGTTGAGCAGTTTCTTTTTTTCTGTGGTTCCTTTAGCTTTGTTTTTCATGAAAGCACAGCAGGTACAAGCATTTTAACTCCATTCCTGGCTGAGACCCTCTTTTATAAACATTCCCTTGAAGTTAAAGTGAAAACTAGTCTTCCTTTTCCGACAATGAAAAAAAATTCAATCTGCTTTTTTTTCCCCGTTGCGTAAAACATCAAAAGCATACAGCCAGGGCCTCTTAAATGCAAATGCCCCTTGACCTCCTCTTATATTTTTGGGTTCCTTGGGACTTTCCAACAACTCCTGTTTCTCTGTATCTTTCATCTCTTCTCTCTTCTGCTGACCGAGAAATTCTATCATCTTGTTCTTTGGAAATCAAATGTGAAACCATTTGGATGCTTTGCTCACCACATGGGCTCTTTGGTTTTGGGGTGCTGGGCATTTATTATCCCTGACAGAAACTGGTAGCATCTGATTTTGTTGACCTATAGGCAGAGAGTAGCCTGGGGACTCTGTATGCAAATCATTATGACTCCAGACATATAACCATTCTGTATACATATTTTAGAAAGCATATTTTATAATTACATGGGGATTGTTTGGCTTGAAGCAAAGATACATAGAATCAGCTTGATAAACAAAGTTTAGTTTAAACGTTATTTTTATTTTTGATTTTAGAGACGGGGAGGGGAGGAAGAGAAACATTGATGTGAGAGAAAGAAACATCAATTGGCTGCATTCCATACACACCCCCGGACTGGGGACCGAACCTGCAGCTCAGGCATGTGCCCTCACTGGGAATCAAATCAGTGATCTCTGGCTTCTCAGGACAATGGTTTAAACAACAGAGCCACAAACATCAGGGCTTACACACTATTACTTTGAGAAAATTCTACTGCTTTGGGCCAGAGTGCTGGAAAGGAATGGAATTAAAAGGAAACCATGAGGAAAGATAAATAATATACAAAGCAAGTGGTTTACCTGGCAAAACCAACACCTCTGCTGACTCCATTAGCATCTCTTAGTATTCTTGTGGAAATGACGTGTCCAAAGGGTTTCAGCATATTCTCAAGTTCCTGCTCATCCATAGAAATGGGGAGATTTGAGATGTATAGGTTTGTTGGGTCTTGCTCTTGTTGCTAAAGGAAGGAAACAAACAAACGCACTAAGTTCCACATATTGAGAAACTCACTGCACAAATGGATACACTTTGAATAAACTGCAGTCTAGACTCCACTCCAGCATGGTCTTGCACGTTCTTTCACCAAGGTCACTGCTTCTTTTCACTGATGTCCTTCTTGCCAGAATGTTTCAATGAAAACCAACCTCTCGGCCCAGCCTTCCTTAGAAAAGACTAACAAACTCTCTTCTCTATTACTACTAACTACTGCTTCCAGTCTATTACTACTATTACTCTATTACTACTAGCATCTACTCTAACTGCCATCACCTCTAGTTACTAATATTGTAGTAACTGAGTGCTCATAACAGGCTAGGCGTTGTTTTAAACACTTAATATGCACTATTTCATTCAATATTCTCAATAGATATCATTGCTACTATTTTACACATGACAAAATTGATCCCTACTTTGTCCAAGTTACACAGTTCCTCAGTGTCAAAGCCAAGGCTCAAACCTGGGGGTGCTGCCAAAGTTCGTGAGCTTCACTGTCCTGCTATACGACTGTCTTGCACCAGACCAATGGGAAAAAAATGTATGGACCTAGAACAGCATCTTCAGTCTCAGCATCACTGCAGAATTTGCCAGAAGTGCAAATTTCTGGGCCCCACCCAGAACTACTGAATCAGATCCTTAAGGGTGGGCCAAGTAATCTGTGGTTCGAAAATCCTTCCAGGTGATTCTGATGAGCGCTCCAGTTTGAAAATTGCTGTCCTAGACCATCCATGAATATTTATATGCAAATGAAGTACAATGCCTATCATTTCCTAACCCATCAGGTTTAGTGCTTAAATAAGCTTTGCTTAATTGAACAGGAAACCAAACAACAGTTGCTAGCATTATTTCTGTGTGCACAAATGTTCTTATTTCACATAATAAATTGGAACTTAGTTGTACATATGTATCAAAATAGCAGCCATTAATCTGACATAATTAATTATTAATATCAAAATATGTCAGGTGTTTCACTGTAACATTACATTTTAACCAAAACAACAACCTTAATTTCAAGAATAAGTGAGATTAAATTGGAAAAAAGAAATCCTGAATGAAGTCTATAGGAAATGACATCAGGTAACAGCCAAATATCTTCTGTGAAGACATGATATCATATTTTGTAGAAAATCTGATGTTTTAAGCACAATGAAAAAAACATAATAAGCAAGATTTCAAATGTTATTTCGGGTCAAGAATCACTTTTGCTATAAAACTAAACTCCATTATTTTTAAAACAACTTTAAATATTCAGATAGGTCATCATGTTTTTATCAAGCTTTAAGATGAATCAGATCTATTATTAGGTTCATTTTTTTTAGTTTTCATACTTTTTTTGAACACTATAGAAAACAGTAGAAACAAACATATAAACAATCAGAAAAAGATAGCACAGCTTTGGTTTTTAGTGAGCGTGTAAATGCAGACAATGTACAGCTGTAGGCGCTCTCTCTACACAAACACACACCCCACTAATAAATGGTATAATTGGAGAAAGAAAACATTATCCCTTCCTAAATGATGGTGATCATGTTTTTTCTTTTTTCTTTTTTTTTAGCTGGGCTGGGGAGAAAAATATGGGAAAGAAAAGGTGTTTCAGATACATAATCACAAACCATATGCACACACAACTGTCAAATCTCACTCCTCATCATTTCATTTCAGTCTTTGCATCCTCACTTCAAAGGTAGCTGGGAAAATATCATTATATTTATTGGGTAATGAGGAAATGGAAGCATGAAAGATTCATCATCTTGTCCAAGGGCAATCCAATAATTAGTGGCACAGTTAGAATTAGATTTAGCGACCAAGTTCTCTGTCTGCCACTCATGTACTTTCCACTAGCCCAGTGTTTCCCAAGTTCAATCATTTTAGAAAATGTTGCCAGCCATGTACTATTTTTTTTTTTACATAAAAGCTTTTTTAAAAACTCATTGTGTCTTTGGGCATAAATAAATTTATTTCAAAAGATAACTTTATGTTGGTACTGTAATTAATAGGTTACTGTAAAAATAGATAACAAACCACTGTTATTAAATCATAGTAAATGACATTTGCTTGCAGAAGACTTTGGTCATGGTGGATGACATTCTCTTAATTACAAATGAGGTTGATAATTTAAAAATGTGTGAGACCCACACTAACACCAGACAGAGTCTTTTTCCTGGGAAGAATAAGAATTGAGAAAGAAGGAAAAAAAAAAAGAATGGCTTTCTTTATGATGCGAATTCTGGATACTACACACCTACATCAACTCAGGTTCTAAGAGAGACATACATCTCCCACAGCTTGGGAGTTCCTGGGTTAACCCAGAGTGGGCTGCAAAACGTAGCAGTCTCATGAATAGACTGGAATTTCCCCAACGTTTTTCACTCCTCGGTCCTTGACCAGGCTAAATAATCATAAGCAACCAACCACACTATACAGGGGACTGTATAGATCTTGTCGTTTTCTGGAGGCAGCTTCTCACAATGGTGTGCAGTGAACACGCAGAGCTGCGCGTAAGGGGTTGCCCAGGAAGCTGCGGTCTGAATCCAAATTCCAACAGTAAGGCCAACTCATTAATTTGTATTGAGAGAGACAATAAAGCATTGTACAATGCCATCCCTTAATTTATATTCACAGGAAGAGTATGGTGTTGGACCGAGTTCTTTATTAAGACATTCTGTCCTTTGAAATGCAGTCTTAGTGTTGAATATATTTGTTGACTTGACAATAGATTTTAATTTCTGCACAGAAGGAACTCTAAAATAATCCATGCATTCATATTTTTCCTTCCCATTTATTTATGTATCACGTTTATGTAAATGGATGACTGAAAAGATTCTTTGGCACTATGAACCAAAGAGCACTTTCCTCTTAACTTTTCAGAAAAAAATCCTTACGTGATCATTATGATCTTAAAGAACTTTAAAAAATATTTTTTAAATTAAATTTCTCATGATCGTTTGGCCCCGGAATAAACCTAACAGGACATCTTATCCAACCTCATGATTTCACAGCTAGAACAAAACAGAAGCTAGAGGAGTGGGCAGGACTTGTTCAAGGTTGCCCGGCTAATTAGTGACAGGCTAGAAATAGAGCCCGTGTCCTTTCATACCTGGTCCAATGTCCTTACCAATTCACGGCACTGCCTTTGCTCTTAAAATCCAGTGAAAAGTAGACAGCTGTTTGTAGTTCAAAGAAATAATAACACAGGCAGAAATAAATATCTCCAAAGCCCTTGTTTTAGTCACTTTTGCTTATTCATCAATTAGCTTTAGTTACAGAGTTAAGGCTATGGAAAAGGAAAATAAAAAGAGCTCCTAGTCTTAGCCAGAATTTCATACATAGTCACTGGACAAATACTCTGCAGCATACATTAGTTTATAGAAGTATATGATTATAATTCATACATCTATTACATTTAATTGACACCATACGTAATTCCCCCATTTTGGTCTGTTTCAACATATTTTCATCTGTATTGCATTTTCTTGATTTATTACTTAGTTTTGTCAAAAGATGGTGGAAACGTCAGAAAAGCGCCCTCTCCATTGTTCATGGGAACAAAGACAAGTCATTTTACTCAGGAATATGTAACTTTCTTTTTCCTGAAATGACTTCACTTTTCTTGGATTTATCTGTGTATGGAAACTGTCAAAATAAGATTTATTAGCACTCATTTGCTTTCTAACGCTTAGAAATAACTTCAGAACTTCAGACATTTCAAGGTAACTAAGCAAATGGATACAAATAGAGGGCAAAAAACTTTTGTCCATATCTAGATCAAAGGTTATATCTTGGGCTGAATTTTATGGATATGTATTATGGTTATTATATATACATGATCCTAAGAAGGGTAGTTAATAGAGCAAGATTTCAAAACAATCTAGTAACACACATGCTTGATAAAGATACATTAAATATTCTGGAAGTGGTTATTGGCACTAGAGATTTTTGAGCAATGTTTCTCAAGCTACCTGGGGTGAGGTCTCATTTTATTTTCTGTCGCACACCAATATTTGTAAAATACAATAAAAATAAGTCAATCAAAAGTAAAGTAAAATAAAAAGACATGTAAATGCAAGTTGCAATTTTCTATTATTACAATCAACAGACCAAAATTACGTTTGGATTAAATGTCACATAAATGTGAAATGGGTAAAAAGGTTTTAAAGGCTTACTCTCACTTTTTGTGCTTATTTCATCGTGGGCAAGTACCATTTGATGAACCAAACTTTAAGTAACACTGTTTTAGGAAACTATATTCCTATTTTTTTTTCATCACAATATAATACTCATACTATAATTCTAAGTTTTAGTCTTTGCTTATTTTATTTACTCTCAGGTCCTTTTTAAATCACAAAACTGTGTAACCAATTTATAATCATTTTTGAACTATTGGGTGGACAAAGTTATTTTTAGATGAATTATCCTCAGCAGTGGTGACAAAGCATCCAGAAAATAACCTGAGGAGGTGTGAAGGAACTCTACAGGAAACACGCGACTATAATCCTTTAAAACACATCAAGATCTTGTTCATACAGACTGAAGACAGTAACATTATCATCTTACATAGGGAAATTGTACAGTATCCAACAGGTTTCAGAATTATTTTATTTTATGTGGCTTCTTTTAATAACCCTATGCACTAGATAGGACAAAAGTTATTATTTCCATTCTACAAATGAGAAAGCCAATTCTGATATCTTAAGAAGTTTACCAAGGTCGTGTGGCTAGTAAATAAATAAATGACATTATAATGATTTTTTTTACTTGATCTAGTACTATTTCTACTAACCTACAACTCAAGATTGTCTATGAATATTGTCATTCATTAGATTTCACCTGTAGAAAGAAAAATTAATGGGCAGATGAAGGAACAATTGCTTTTTTTTTAACAGAACAGTCTATTTTAAATGTTGTAGTAGTCTAAAAAATTAATAATAATAAAACTAAATGTTTTCTCTCACCCTGAGAACA